AGCTGCAGGATGGCCATACTGAGCTGATCCGCTTGTTTCGCCCCTGGCCAGGTAGAGCGGTGTCTACGCCCCACTAATTCCCCCCTCCAGGTCCCGGATCATGGAAGGTGATGGCGAGCCCAGTTAAGGATTGGCTTTGCATTGGGTGCAACAGGTCCCAGTAACAGGAGTCTCCGGATCCCATAGCTGTCCCCATCCTCCACTCTGGCTCACAGGCTGGGAGCAGCTTTATATCCAGGCGGTCTACCCTCTGGTCCTCCTCCTGGAGCTGGGTCAGACTGGCAACTCTTCCAGGAATCTGACGCCTTGGGTCAAGCCCCCAGCCTTCGGGCTTCCTCTGCAGCCTCCATGGCTCGCACCATTTCTTCAGAAAGAGAAAGCAAGGTGTTGGTAAATCCTTGATCATCCGTCCCCACAGCCCCCTCTATGATTTCTCCTTTCTCCTCCATCTTCACTGAGTCTTCGCACCACCCGAGGTTTAGGTAGATGCTGGGGCTCAACAAACCCGACAGCCCCTTTCGGGGTGCCGTTAGGTTTTAAGAGGGATTCGGGTTAATGTCAGCGTTCCAGAAAACCCCAACTCCGAGTAAGGATGTGGAAGCAAGCATTTTCCAAAGTTCTCTTTACTAGACTAGGTAAACTGGCACATCTGGGAAAATCAGAATCTGAAAGATCTGGGTTTTCCCTCAGTAAATCAAAACCCCCAAAACCATTCCCTTACTCCTCATTCGATCACATGCTCCAATCAACGTCTGTCCCACCTCAACTCAGCACTCCGACCATTCCTTCTCCGGATGCTGGATCGCCCTGACCTTGACTGACAGGAAGAATGCTATTATGTCTACAAACAACCCCTTTACTAAATCTTCCCTCCTACTTTCCCACACATGAGAAGGTGGCAGCATGGAAGCTAATATGGCTTCCAAAGCTGACAAGTAGCTTCCTTGACTTGGTTGTGCAACAGGTCAAAAGCTTCCAAAACTCATACATACTTGTACCCTTCTTCTGGTGTTACTGTGTTTAAAGCTCTTTATTATCAAGTTCAAATCTGTCATCTCCTATAATTTTTCCTGCCTTAACAGCAATTGTTGCACATTTGCCAAACAGCATTCCAATGCCAAACAGCATTCCAATGTCTTTGCTAAACTCAGTACTTTTCAGTAGTAAGCTCAATTTAGCTTGGTTTTCCAATTTTAAATCATCCATAGAGCAAATGTGAAACTTTCAAGCCTTTTTTAGTCAATTCATAGCCAGTTTGTCTTGTTCAAATTACTTGTTAGTTGCACCATTGATAGTAGAAATAACAGAGGTGACAATGAGTCACCTTGGAAAATTCCTTGTTTGATTTCAATTTCACCAAGTTCTTCTCCATAGGCCATCAGCTTAGTTTTCCATAGCTTCATGGAAGTCTTTAGGAATTTCTGAATGTTGCTGCTTATTCCAAAAATTTCTAAGCATTTCTCAATTCAGCTGTGTGGAACAGAATCAAATGCTTTCTTATAATCAATTCAGGCCATAAACAATTTTTTCATCTTTTCTTTGAATTCTTTGAAACCTGTTATCATTATTATTATCTCACCAGGCTCAAGGTTGACTCAGCCTTCCATCCTTTCAAAGGTAGGTGAAATGAGGACCCAGATTGTGGGGGCAATAAGCTGACTTTGTATAAATATACAAAAGTATATTCAATAAACAAAAAGTATGAAGGCTATTGCTTAACGCATTGTAAGCTGCCCTGAGTCTCCAGAGAAGGGCGGCATATAAATTAAAGCAAAAAATATATATATATATTAGTGTATGATGTTCTTATATTAGCCAGGAGAAACAGTAGTAGTTGGCTGCCAATTTACCAGCTCTCTTGTGAGACATGCCCACACGGTTCCCAGGGTGTGCCATTGGAGGGCAAACTGGCTTCGCAGAAAAAAGAATGAGGAGTGGCTCTTCTTGCAGCACCATCCAAGCCCCTCTCCCTTTACTAGAGTGGCCTCGCAAGTGGGCATCAAAATCAGGAAGATTCAGAGCTGGCAGGAATCTGCCTGCACAGAGCACCAATTCACCCCCCCCCCAAGTGATATCTATTTATCTACTTGCATAGAACATGCTTTCAAACTGCTAGGTGGACAGAAGCTGAGGCAAGTGATGGGAGCTCACCCTGCCACACATTTATACAATTCAAACTGCTGGAGCAGAGACTATCTCCAGCATTATTAAACCACTGAGCCAACTCCCCTCTTTGTATGTGAAGTGAACTCGTTAGAACATCATCCTTGCTCTGTGGAGTGTCTTTATATATATATTAAAATCCTGACAATTGGTACGGTCAATATATATCAGACAGGTACTTAATTTTGTTCCCAGGCATGTTTCGGTCTTGTTGGGTTTTGATTTGAGGCTCATGAATATTTAATTTTATGGAAAAACTGTATCCTAAAAATAGAAGACAAAATGTTCTGCTAGTGGAATCTTGAATATATCTTTATATATTAACTACTATTTCATCAACTACTAAGTCATCAAAATATCTTAGTTTGAATTTACTGGAGACCGCAAAGAATCTGTTTAAGAGGACTGACAGTGGATTCTTTGATTTGTTTATTTATTTACAGTATATGACATTTAGGAAAATCACATTTGTTTTGTTGTCATCTTTGCTGGTGATAGAAAACATTTGAACAATCACATGATTTGTATGATTTGTGAATCATCCACATTTTTACATGGACAAAAAGATTTATGGAGATTTTGTTTAGTGTTATAAAACAAAAGATATAAATATATCCCAAGCTTGAATAGGTTGGGCAGGACAGGAATTCAGCTCAAAAGGGGCCAACTCTTACTGCAAAAGACATTTCTACTTTCTCCAGATCCACAAACACATTCTCAGGTAACCTCAAAGATTTCATTCTTGTCATCTGATTGCATGTTCTGAGGGGATAGAAGTGATGCCATTGTCTGTCTGGATGTATGAGCTATGATTCTCCAAAAACTTACAGATAGAAGGTATCTGAGCAAAGAAAAGGAAAGCAGCATTATCTCATCTTTAGAAATGTTTTCAATAGCTTTCGAATAGCGGGATTCAAACTTTTCGAAGCCAAATTCATTCTTAGTTAAAAAATAAAGAAGCAAGTTAATAACATTGTGCATGCAGGAAAATATGGAAAAAGAGCCAATTTGAATGAAATATGTTACGAACAAGTGAAATTGCAAATGCCAAGAGCTAATTTTTCATGTCATTTGGCCAGCTGTGAAGCAAGACAGGCAGAAACTTGAAGGGAGCAAACACACAAAAAAGCTATAAAATATAAATTAGTTTATGCAGATTAACTGTAAAGGCTAGGTCCACTGATTCATGTAATAGTTTCTCCTTATAGTTTCATATGTTTTGCTAGATGAAGAAAAGTTTTTAAAAATAGGACCTTGCAGATTCCAAGGGAGACACATTTTTATTATCTTCAAACTGGACTTCTTGAGTCAGAGACTTTACATTCTCTCATTTAATTAATTGTTGAAACTCACTTTTCCCATAAAATATATTTTGACTGAAAGAATAGATTCAATTAAGGCAAGCCTATTTAAAGCTTATAGGATTAGTCTGCAACTTTTCAGGCAGTAAACACTATTGTGAAATTTAACACAGTGCCGTGAGTGCTCATTTCTTAAACAACTTTTTTTTTAAATGAAAATCTTGCACATTTTAATGTGAATGTTTTCACATGAAAATTTGCAAGCTTTCAGTCATTTTTAAATGACTTGATCTTGTTAAATTTCAGTTAATATCATATTAACTGAATGATATTCAGTCATATATTCTCCCTATGAAAGGATGTAGTATTGTGAGTATCAAAGAGGGTATGAGCACCATACTAATCGCTAATTTATTTGTTTGTTTATAAAATTTATAAACTGCCTCATTCCAGAATCTCTAGGCAGTACCAAAGTCATATTATATAATTTTGTAAATAGGTACAATCACCAGTTCTATATCACAAATTGCCTATCTCAGTTTCCAGCTCTCCTAGTTGCTGTAAAGACTGCAAGCTAGAAACAATCGTGGATGCATGGAGCTTCTTCCCCCATTCCACCCCCAATCTCTGTCTCTCTCACATTCACTCATACACCCACAGCATACTAAATTCAATTTCTTCAGTTTAGTTTTCCAAGCTGCAAGAGAAAGTGGTATAAAACCAAAGAATAGATATATGCTACAATTCATCTTCTGTGAATGGTACATCAAACAGGTATTTCTTCAGTACTGCTTAAAAGAAGATGTTCAACTGTTACTGATTGGTCATTAAGAAGCAGCCAAAGAAGAAAATCTCTTCACAATCTCTATTTCAAACATAAAACATATTGGATTAAGTGCTGGCAGGCCAGACTTTCAAAGGAGATACTTGACAAATATACATCAACTTCAGTATACAGAATGTATCTCATACATATTCTGGTTTTCAGATTAAATAGGTTCTCTAATCACAAAGACAATTATATTCTCATTCAGAGGTGCAAGCTCTCAACCCCAATTTTGTCCCTTCACAAAATTAGCCTGACTGGGGGAAGAGGAAGGGAGCCAGACTTTTAGGGTATGCCAAAAATGTCCTAAGCCTCCACACATGCTGTGGGACACTATATGGTGTCAGGGTGGCCCCATGCATTATAGATTGGCAGTGTTGGATAAACACATCTTTACTTTGAAATTACAGTGGGGACAAGCACATTACAGAAAGCAGGCATTTTGCCTTGGATGAGAGAGATATGGATTCAAATTCTAATTAAAATATTGGGGGAAACTTAAAGAGGCTTGTCTGCAGTGATAAGCTTTTGATTGCCCATTCAGATGGTGGCTAAGGATTTGCATCATGTGTTCCCCCATACAAATAAACAAAGCTCCGTCAACAAAAAAAATTAGATGCCAGAGGATATTTTTGGGGGAAGGGGGGGAAGAATATGGGCTTGCAAAAAAACTCTATTCATTTGTTCAAAAACAGATAAAAATTACTCACACCACATCTCGAGAAGCTCCATGCAAAAGTAGCAGTTCCACAATTTCTATATGTCCATTCTTGGCAGCATCGTGAAGTGGCATATCATTCTGATACCCAGTCACATTCAGCAGTGCCCCATGTCTAATCAGTAATTCAACTATCTGCTTATGTCCATGATTACAGGCTTCATGCTAAATGTTGGATGGGAAAAAAAACAATATAGAAGTTACAGAATAAGAACTGGCTCAACTAAAAATTAAAGCTCGATAAAACAGGAAAATGATGCCCCTAAATTACAGATTTTTATTTTTGCAACCAAGACTGACTCCCAGATAGCTTGCAGGTATAATTAATCATTCTTGGAATCTTTGCTGTATGTAAAAGAAAAATACTTATGTTTGAACTTCATCTGGCAGAAAAAAATGAACACAAAATAACTATCCATAATGTATTTTACCACTTTCCAGATTCTGCTTAGACTTTTAAAATCCATTTCTCTTGCGTCTGAAAATGCAATAGAAAATCACCTGAAGAAAGAAACTGGCTTAATTCAGAAAGAACAATGTAGGAACAAATAACAGGAAAAGCAAGAGGAAAGAGGATCTCAAAACTATTTGACTTTATTAAACAAATGAAGTTTTTCCTTTTTCAGGACAAGCTGAGAAAGAATTCATCTAAATCATCCCCTGTATCACATAGTCTCAACAAGAGTGAGATAAAGAACAAGGGAAGAATGGAAGGAATGAACCATTTAAATTACCAGTGGTGTCCAACCAGCATAGTCTTTAATGTTGGGATCAGCTCCTTTTTTCAACAAGCATTCAACAGCAGAAAGATTACCCTAGAAAAAGGAAATGAAAACATAAAGCATTAAAATTTATTAAATGTTAACAATTTAAATTGATTGAGGATCTATAAACCCAAAATAAAAAATAGGAAGATCAGTAAGGTAAGAGAGAATCAAATATCCAACAGAATAAAGTAAAACATGTAAGTTTTTTAGAAATACAAATGTTTAAAAATCACTCTTTATATTAAATAAATATATTATAGTTAATTGATATTCTGATTTCTGAATTCTTTGACTTATTTCCCTCATCTAGAGAACTATACAATTGTTACAACCCCTTCTTATTCCTCTTTTAAAATTAGATTTCCTCTCCATTATAAAAAATGCCTGAAATATTCTATGAATTAAAAAAATGATGGTAAAAGAATGAAAATCTAGGATAAAAATTGCGTACCACAAACATGATAAAAATTTGATTACCCAGATTAACTGTAATCATGCTAACAGACCTGTGGCAACACTAACACATACAACTCAGCCTGACTCAGCCTTCCATCCTTTCAAGGTAGGTAAAATGAGGACCCGGTTTGTGGGGGCAATAAGATGACTTTGTATAAAATAGAACACCGCTTAGGGTGGGCCAAAAAGCCCTACTAAACAGGTATATACAAAAGTATGAAGGCTATTGCTTAATGCATTGTAAGCCGCCCTGAGTCTCCGGATAAGGGCGGCATATAAATCGAACCAATAAATAAATAAATAAATAAATAAATAAATAAATAAACAAACAAACAAACAAACAAACAAATAAATAAACTGGTGTTGATTTTCAACCACAGGTCTGCCTCCACTTGGAGTTCAGTCTACCTTGTAACAGTTACTTGTCATCTCCCAAAACAAGACTAGCAATCATTAATGCAGACATATGCATTACACTCTTGCTAAATTATCCTTTATTTATTATGCTTATTTCTATCCTGACCCCTCATTAAGCTGAGAAACATTTATTAAATGGGTGAAATTGATATGCACTTCACAAAGTAAAATATCTGGGTATTATCAAGATTAATATGAATGATGATGATGATTCTATGTTATTTCAAAATAGCTATGTGAAGGTATGGAATGAAATGAAGTGCAGGTTAAGAAGGGAAAGCTATGTTTTATCATTGTTGGGGGGGAATTTCTATGGTAAAAATTAATGTACTACTTAAATGTCTGCTAAGTGAGACATTTGTTAAATGAATTTTGCTCAATTTTACAACATCTCTCGCCACAAATAAGTGAATCACTGCAGTACACATTTTAAGTGAATCTGACTTTCCCCTTGACTTTGCTTGTCACAAGGTCACAAAAGGTGATCACATGACCTCGGGACACTGCAGCTGTCATAAATATGCGTTAGTTATCAAGTGCCTGAATTTTGATCATGTGGACCATGGGGATGCTGCAACAGTTGTAAATATGAAAAACGGTCATAAGTCACTTTTTTTAGTGCTGTTGTAACTTTGAATAGTCAATAAAAGAATTGTTATAAGATACCCAGCCTTTGTGTATCATTATCAAGAATCATGAAACTGAAAAGCAAAATGATCAATCAAAAAGCTGCTTACTGCTTTTTTAAATTAGTAAATCAACAAGACTAGTTAAACATGTTAGCAGTAACTTTATCCATAGATCTCTTGCTTTACCTAGTTTTAGAATATTTTAGAGCTAATTTTTGGTATGGTTGCCCCATGATCCCATTCAGTGTTCAATATGAAAAATAAGCTTTGTATGCATTTATGTACACTTATATAAAGTAGAGGAATTTTTGCAAAAAATCAGGAGTGTATGATATGTTTTCAAGAACAGATTTTGCCTTTCTTTTTACTTTTAATGAGTAATAAAAACATTGATTCCAGTTTACCACACAGATGACTACATTTGTTTCAATTAACTGTAAACTCATCAAACTTTGAAATCCTTTTTCAAGACCAATGTGCTTTTAGGATATTTACTATGAGTGTAAAATAGGAAAGACTACCCTGAAATTTCAGTTTAGATTGATCTGAAATACACCAACATATTTAATTTTATATGCTTTTAACAGAGTCTCTTAAACAACCCAAAAGCTGAACTCGTTTAATTTTCATTAAGTTTGGTGTATTAAGCCCTACATAATAATGAAAACAGTATAGATTTATCCGATAATTAATGAAGTCCCAGAAGAATTAAATGTATTTTCCATTTACACTACCATGAGACTGTTTCTATTACACTGACAAGTTTAATTAGATAAGAAATTCAGAAAATAGTTGCAGCTACTTAATAGTGCAATCCAAATGGAACAATCCACGGCTGGGTGGGGAATAGGATGAAACAGGAAACTTTTCCTTTTAGGTAATTCTAGCCCTTTTTCAAGACAGTTTCTTTCCCTAAAAGTTTTTTCCTCTTTTTGTCTGTGTGTACTTGCTTTTTTATATTTTAGTTTGTACACTGCCTACAATTCCTAGTGTGGGATATATAGGTTGATAGTAATGATCACCATCATCATCCCTCATAAAAGAGTTTATTGTGCTTTAAAATTAGTCTTTGGCATTTTTTTTCTTTTCCATTTTCACACGTAAAAGATTATTTTTAAAAATTAAGAAATTAACCAGGAGTCACATATAGTAAAAGCTGACCATAAATAAAATCTTAACTTAATTGCGGTCATTAACCAGCACAAGAGAATTGGTATTCATATATTCAAAACTAAATTGACAATATCAATTCGTGAAGACAAAAATGTTGGCTAAAAGACAATCTTAAAATCAAAATAGGCTAAAAGGTTTACAAAGACATATACAACAAAAACAAATTAAAATTAGCAATCTGGATAATATAAAGTTGGAATAGCTGTATAAAATGGACTTCTGGAAGGGTCTTCAAATCTGGCTCTGCCAGCTGGCTTGAGGCTCTGATGGGGATGCTCTGTGCTAGAGGTGTTTGACAGGATAAGAAAGAAAATTCCATTCCCATTATTGTCTGTCTCCTTAGCTTTTAGCCTCTATTTAATCCTTACTAATTTTAACTTTTATATATATCTTTTTACCATTTTAAAGTAGCCCAGAATTGCTACAAAAATGAGATGGGTGGCATATAAATTTAATAAATAAAATACAAATATATACTGTATACTTATACCCATTTTCTTTTCCATTTTCACAAGGAAAATGTTATTTTAAAAATTAAGGAATTAACAAGGGGGTCTTCTTCTCTACTTCCTTTTTTCTGCTTCAGGTGTCAAGGGAGATACAAAGTTCTGGTTCTTGCTCTTGTTGGCGGCCACAACAATTGTTAATTGATATTATTGTGGTGTGTCACACATGGTAAAATCTGACAGTAAATAAAATCAACTATACCAAAAGAAAACTACATGCCGATTTCACCAGTGATATGCTAGCAGAAATTTTTGATTAGTCTACCAGCAAAGACAAGGGAATCCAGAAGACTAAAGAGGGAAGAATGAATTCCTATCACATTTAAACTCCCTTCAGACTAAGGGCAGCTGTAATTAATTTCCAACAAATATCCAGTGGGAACTAAAGCAAACAAAAATCCTAATTTCCTTCTTAAAGTACTACCCATCTGAAGACAGGGTTCAGCAGCCTATCAATTTAGCTGGCCTCAGTTTGGCTGATTAAGATTAGGGCTATGCAAATCTTCAAAATTGCTAAAGTAACCATGTCCATTTCCAGATGCTGCTCCTATCTGGTCTATACATATTGCAGACACAACCCTTTTAATTCACTTATTTAGGCTATTATAACAGTTTTGGAATTTTTGACTTGGTTTGGCTTTAGCAATACCTGCATGTTTGAGAAAAGGAGGTGCAACCACAGCTTTATTTGGCGTCACTCCAATCCCCGTTTGGAAAGAACTAGGAGAAAGGAATTTCATCTCATTATGCAACTAATCCCCAGAAAACACCTTGCAATTTGAGGGAATTGGTTCCTTGAATTTCACTTCTAAAAATCCCATGAGAAAGGGCTTTAAAATTCCAAAGAATCAAGTTGCTTGTTCAAAACAAAACTGAAGGTGTGTGCTATGTTTGTATTCCTACCTGAGAGGAACTCAAATTACACCTGCACATAGTGTAAACTGGTCAGATTCCTGGAGGAGAAAGGTCTACCACTCTGAGTCTCATCTATGCAAGTCAGGAATACCTTGGAAAGGGACTGGAAGAAAGAGGTGACCTGAGGAGCAGTCCTTGACAGCAGTCAGAATCGGGAGAAGCAGGAAAGCCTTGGAGAAGCCAGATGGGGGAAGGAGACGTCCCACAATGGTGGCCGTGAAGAAATGACAACTGACAGATGGACGAAGAATAGCGGTGAGTCAGTGGGACAATGGTGTGACGGATCTGGTGGAATTTGATCCTGGCAACTCCACGTGAGTGATCCGGGGCAGGAGAACTTCCCGGAGGATTTCCGATAAGGGAAGAGGAGAAAAGGGGCCCCAGGAAGAAGGAGGGAAGAAAGCTCTTCCCCCATGAAACAGCGGTGAAAGGCAAGTTTGGGCATAGAAAGGCTTACTGCAATGTGATAGGCCTTACTGGCTGAGAAACAAAAAAGAGCAAGGCTGGTTTCTTTTGTCTACAAAGAACTTATAATAAGATACTAAAACAACTTAAAGTTGGAAAGTAAAAAGGATTGAATGCTGAGTTAAATAGAGGGAGGCAAGGGAGACACCTGCTGGCTAAGAAGAAAATAGACACAAGCAACAGTTTAAAAGAAAGGAAAAAAGACAATAAAAATAAATAAAACAGAATAGAAGAGATAAAGAGAACTCTGCTCTAGAAAGAAGGAAAGACTGTGGGTTAAAACTTACTTGTCCACAAAAATAAATACAGCAGCTAAACAAGAACTTGTTGACTTAAAGGACTAAAAGAAGCTACATAAAAATAAGAAACTGATTGTACTGCGAGGATGAAAGACTTTCTATATCTGTTTACTTTGTTGATTATATTTATATATTTACATATATATTAATAAGGAGAGTAACTGCAAATCAGACAGTGGTCGTTATGG